GCGAACGGCTCCCGTGACGTCACTGGCCTCAGATCAGCCACTGTCTCGTCGGGAGGCTCAAGCGGTGACTGGGTGACGACCCCATCCCCAGAGAGGCGTGTCCTCGGTCTCGCGTCAGCTCCCCGTGCAGGCCGGCGCGCCCCGGTCCACCCAGTCATCCCCTCAGCGTGGAACACCGTCAGGCAGCCCAGCCAATGGTGGGCCAGACCGTCCAGCTCGGTGATCCTGTGGCGAACAGAATCACGATCTCTCCGTTGTTTGGGGCGACGCAGGCAACGGTGCCTTACCCAAACGCCAGCGCTGAAAGTCGGCTGGACTGGCCTGTTTCTCCGGCCCCAGTAGGCCTTCTGACGTCGCTGCTGCTTGACGACACGGTCCTTGGCACGGCTGTGGTCGATCTCCACCTTCCTTGATGGACGCACCGCTGCGTGTAGCACCGTCAGGCGTTTCATGCTTTTTTATAGAAAACCATCCACGAGGGGCTTTTCGGTTGTTCGGCTTGTTGCGACGTTCACTAGTTTCGGTTCGTTACATCATTCATTCACTCGTCACAACACATCACAAAAGATACTTTAACAGATGATGCCACGAAATGTACTATGAAATGCGAAACTAGCACCTAGATTATGGCATATTATACCGTACAATACGATATGATAAATACAGTACAATAAAATACGATGCAATAAGATACGATACGATCAAATACAATGCGGTCAGATACGAGGCGATAAGATGCATTGATATGCAAAACATACAGAGTCGAACGGTGAATCCAATAAAGGTTATAAATTGACAACATAATGTGCCAAACTCAGCGTACACAAACAAAGATGAAGGAAAATAAATTGTTAGTACATGGAATCAGCACTGACTTGCAGACCACACGCACACACATATGGCGTACAATCACACAGGTAACGATCATGGGCTTAAACTAAGGCGCATGACCTAACATTTTGGTTTTGAAATGCGAGTTTTTAATCCCGCAGAAGTCAGAAATGAAGACATAATGGTGATCGGAGGCAAGCGGTTGAAAGGTGCTGTGGCACGATAGTTGGCGTTATCTGACATCGTTTGCCCTAATTGTGATTTTAAGTTTATGTGTTTCGTCTTGAGAATGTCAAAAGATTGACGAAACGTGGACAAGATATCATAAACCAGACAGGAATGCGGCTCGCTTGGGATTTTCTCTCAATGAGTCTTGTTTCTTTTTCGAGCAAGCACAGCCCAGAGAGCAAGCAATTCGTACGCACGATTGAAGTACCCCTTGGAAGATAAACAACGAATCGGCTGCTATTTTCAACAACCTGTATTTATTAAACAACCTGCTACTAAAATACATACACACATACAAACACATGCATATATATATATATATATATATATATATATTATATATATATATATATATATATATATATATATGGCAAATATTCGATGCTACAACATTTACTAGGATGTGTATATGGTATAAACGGTATAGTGTTAGATTCCCTGGCCGTAAAAATAGCTTACTGGGTGCATCGGCTCATTCTGGGGAGGAAAAGCTGCCAGCACCTATTATTTATCCGGGGATTTTGTTCATTTCGTTGCAATACAAAGGGCAAAATATGAATGTATCATACCTGCTAATGGCCGACGATATTTGCTGGTTTTCGATTATTGGAATATCTTTGATTGTACATTACGTTCATGGCGCAGGGCGCTACATTATAAGATAATCACAATAACAAGGAACCACGTCACAAACGGGCTTCTGAGTCACATTCGTATTGCAGAAAGCAGTGGCTGTGCTCATTGCAATAATGTTACGGAGACCATTGAGCATACATTTTGGGACTGCCCGACAGTGCAACGATTTTGGCAAGCAATAAGAGCATGGTTATTATAAAAAATATTATCAGGGGCATAGCTGAATCCAGCGAGTCAACAGTGATGCTAGGAACGGCTTAAGATCAATTGACGAATCAATGGCTGTATGTGCCAAAACATAATTAGAGGGAGGCTTAGGCTTACATCTCAATCGTGGTATCTTTTTGTTTGAAAAAAGACAAGTGGAAAGGCTGATCGCGACACTTAATGAAACCTTGACACAGTATGAGACGAAATGGACAACCCCGATACGGGAACGTGGTGTCTGAGATGGCTGTTGATTTTTTGTAACATGTTTGTAAAACGGCGTAAAAGAACGGGTTGAGAATTGCAGCTGATTCCCTTTGAATTTAATTCTTTGAGCGCCAATATGTAATGATTGTATACTGTCTGAATTTGTGTCTGTCAAATGTTTATATTATGTGCCATTTGTAAGATAATGGCACGGAGCTTAAACAAGAAAGAGGCCACTTTCCGTCCATTCTGAAAAAAACTTCAGCGTTTATGATCTTGCCCGTTTGTTGAGGTTTGGGGTTTCGCATGGTGCTTTTGTCGCTCCCGTGTGTCTATGTAGAATACTTCCAAAAATCATCTGTCTCAATATTTTGATCAGCTTGATCATCATTATCAACACGTTTAATACACGTTGAGCATGCAGTCGCACACAGTGCACATTTAAACTCAAAATTCATCGCATTGATACGAAATAAACGTTCGAGGCATTTGAAAAGAATATTGGAACGCTATATGCAATAACTCGAGGCACACTTCTGTACGACTGAAAGTGTAACATTTGCATCACATCGAGTTGAAGGATTACTGCGCTGGTCCGGTGGCTCGGCATTACGGGAGGGGGTCTGTCCTACTTGCCGCACGTCGCGCAGTGACAGTTGCATAGGTTGTTTGGTTTCATGCTAATGATCGGCGCTGTCTCTAATGAACAATGCTTCAAGTGTAGTGAAGCGTCTGTGGTCTGTGGTATGCGCTAGTACGGTGGTGTTCATGACTAACATATTTTAGTGAGTTTGGCATTGTGGTAAATACACGGATGCGTTTTCGGTACCCCGTCCCGTAAGTGCATAGTTAAACGTCCACTGAGACGCATTGTAGTGCGATTACCTTGGGTGTGCGATTACCTTGGGCGTTTCACATCCCGGCAACACATTCAAACAGTATGTACGTTCGTCCGCCTCAACTCATTGTGAGGACAATGAGAGGCAGAATCTATATTTTCGTGTTCCTGTCGCTGTTCATCTGTTCAGATGACAGCCTCAACATCATGTAGGTGAATCGTGTGCTCCAGGCTAATTTTTGAATGGTACGGCTGATTTTTAAGGACTTTCCGAAGCATTATTTCGCGACGACTGTTCTCACGCGCCCCTCGTCCGCTCTCCGGTGTTACCTGCACCGGCCCACGCCGCTCGGTTTGATTGAAACTATAATCTCGGCCATCGGTAGTCTTGCTCTCAAGGTTCCGAGCACGCAGGCTCAAAACTTTTTGTGTCATTTGCTTTGCAAGTCGATTCGGAGCAAGAATGGGCGTTCTTGTTTGTCTTGGCATTTTTCCTAGTTTATCTCACTTCGACCCACCTTACTGAACGCTAAGAAAACGACCTAGCCCTTACCGGTAAGGGGCCCCGTAGGCCATACTGGCTGCCATACTGGCTGCCAACTCCCCGTTCTGTACTGAGGCCCGTGATTGACACAGGGCCTTTCTTTGTTTCATTTTTGACTCCCATGGGTAAGCTCTCATGTCCACTTTCGTTGTCATAGGG